GAACCCAACTTTTTACATGAAGTAAAATGCAATTTTCCTTTTGAAATCTTGTCTACATTTTTGTGCAACATCTGATCTGATCTGATCGTGACTGAAAATCTTACTCATGGAAGTCACATGAGTTATGAATGATAATCTCACACTTCCACGGATGGTCACGGGTCTGTCCATAAAGGGCTGTTGGGTTTTTGCTTTTCCCACTTCCTTGACACTTTATAAAAAAGAATACATAAATAATGGTTTCTTTTTTTTTTTTTTTGAACAATGTAAAATCTTTTTTCTTGGGAAGTGGGAATGGAGGCACTTGGAATTGATCCCAAGTCCTTGTAGTCTTACGCACGTCCCTTGCAAGGGGTGGTCATTTGGCCACCGAGTGCGGACCATAAATAATGGTTTCTAAAAGTGCCATTGTTATATATTTTTTTAATATTAATTAATATTAAAAAATAAAAATTAATTTTTATTTAACTAATTGTGTAATTAAAATATTTGTGTAATATTAATAATAAAATTAATGATGACTTTTGTATCTTTTAATATTAATTAAAGTTAAAAATATTACAATAATTATATCATAAAGACATGAGGTAGGAAAATTGAATAAATAAAAGTAAGGCAATATTATAATACAATTTTGTACCAAAAAAATATTATGATACAATTTGTAAAAAAATATTATGATACAATTTGTCTTACAAATATTACACTTTAGTTTTCTAAATAGGGGTGGGTACAATTAGATTTTAGTTCCAATTGAAACTAATATTGGTTAATTAATCGATTTAGTATAGTTGTGATTTTTAATTTTTAGTTTTAGTTTTTATAAATTTTGTATCTTAAAACAAAAAACTCATTTGCTTTCAAAGTGTTTTTCCAATATATTATCATAATTATTAGTTAAATAATAATAAAAATAATTTTAACACTATCAAATAAGTTTATATTTTTCATTGTCAATATTAAAAGTCATCTTTTAAATTATTAATTTTTTAGTTTTTGTTTTGATTTTCAATAATTATAAAATTTATAAAAACTAAAACCAAAAACATAACTATATTAATCAAAGCCCGCCATTTATTATGATTATTTTTTTTTTATAGATTTTGCAACTTCAAATAAAAAATTTGTTTACTTTCATATATCTTTATAATATATTATCATGTTTCATGATTATTAAATAAATAAGAATAAAAGTAATTTTAATACTTGTTTATATTTTTTATTTTTAGTGTTAAACAAATTATTAGTTATTTTATTTTAGTTAAAACTCTAATTTAGTCCCTCTACTTTAGAAAAAAGTTCTTTTTTAGTCTCTTTATTTAAAATCCGATCTCTTTTTAATCTCTCTGTTAAGTTTTGATGTTAAACGATGAAAATTTCAAAGTAAAAAAAAAAAAAATAGACTTTTTTTCAAAGTAAAGGACCAAAATTGAGGCTATTTTAAACTTATTTTTAGTTCTTTTTTTATCCCTCTACTTTGAAATTTTCAATATTTATCGTGTCATGTACACAAAACTTAGTGGAGGGATTAAAAAAAATTAAATTTCAAGCTTTGGGAACCAAAAATAAGTTTTTTAAAGTAAAAAGACTAAAAAAGACTTTGACCAAAGTAGAATGATCAAAATGGGGATTTAAATCTTTTATTTTTAATTTCAATTTTCAATAGTTACAAAATTTATCTTTTAAAAATAATATTAG